TTGTATTCAACTCGAAATAGTGTCACATTATGTTTTTCTCGTCTTCTTTTTTTTTAACAATACTTTCTTTTCTTTAACTCTATATTTGTTCTTTTTTTTTCCAAAACTGGATGGCATGCTACTTTCATTGTTAATCGATTTTCTCTTATCTTTCTTTTTTATGTTTTGCTCTTTTTCCTATTCATTAACCTTAATACATCTGTCTTTCCATATAAAGTCGTAAAAACCATTCCAGATCATATGTGTGGTGAGTTCTATTGAATTTGCAGTCGTTTTCGTCGAATTTAAGAGAATCTTGATTCTGTCAAAAGAGTCAATAGTAGATAAGCCTTTGATCCACAACTTTTTTTTTCACTTTTATCGGCTTCTGTAATCCCGATTAAAATCTCATAAAGTAGTCTTTTGGAACAAAGATATTTTTCATCTTTTGTGAGTTTGAACCATACTAGATCGATTGCTGTGTTCTCGATATATTGCCATATTGACTTGTAATAAACACATACTGCTAAATGATCATGGGTTTCTGCAATACTGTTATTGCATACTATACAATTACTGCTTATATAGATGTCTAGTTTTCTTATCCCTAAGGTTTTAAGCACTGGTAGGTTTCCTGAGAGGCATTTTAACTGAGTTGCAAGTTTTTTACTTTTCTGCAGTGTGTTACACTTTATATCTTTTAATTTCTTTATCCTTTTCCAGTATGTGTGCCAATCTAACTTAGAATTATTTGTTTCAGATTCTATAGCTCTAATTGACTCTGTTAATCACCAGTTTGTACTATTCCAGGTTTTGAAGAATTTTTTCAGAGTGGGTCTGGTTGACTTTTCAATTTTATGATCACCCCAAAATAGCAGAAATAGAATTCTTGTTTTCTAATCCAAGTAAATGTTCGTTGAATATGACAAAGATATAGCTTTCTTTGCTAATGTATCTGCTCTATCATTCCACTTGTTGTTGCTATGGCCTTTAATCTTTTTGAGTTCTAAGTTAATCCCTTTCGCTTTAATCAGGTCTGCTATTTTGATTAGAATATCTCAGTTCTTTTCCTTGAAAATTCTGTTGAATCTCCATTCACTCTTAATTTTTTCTATACTGGCGATCGCTGCTATACTGTCTGAAAAGATCCAGATATTACCACTTGTTGGAATAGTAAAAAAAGCTAGCCAGATTGCAATAAGCTTAGGCTTTGTCGATGATGGCCAATTCTCTAATTTGGCAAAACCCTTCTATAATAACTTTTCTTGTTTTTCATCTACCTGTACCTATCCAATACCCATATTACAACTATTCATCTCTCGAATTAATGACCCATCTGTGTATACCCAAAAGTTATTTTTATTGCTACTAATATTAAAATCTAAACTATTTTCTAAATTACTTGCCAAATCTATATTAAAATTCTGATCTAATATTAGCTGTTTATCTAATGATTCCAAACTTCATAACCCTAAAAATACTTTTTCTTCACTACTGAATTTTAACGATTTAAACTTGCTGATTTTGCTAGGCAGGATATTTTTGTATCTAGGAATATGCTTTTGATTATTCTTTTGTAGCGGCTTTGAGATTATTGTAAGAATATTGTTTTGGTTAATCCAACTATATTTCCCGTTTTGCTCAGATGGTGATGTTTCAGTAACCTGCTCTACTTCAATATATCCTGTCATCAAGCTATTTTCTTTTATTGCCCAATGCTCTGTAAGGATTTTGCTTTTGCCTTTTTTATAATCTTTCTTGTCTCTAATTTCTCATTTTCTTTGTTTAACAAGATCCATTCTTTTTTCCTGTTGTCTGGTGAAATTAACACTACTGGCATTACTGGCACAAGATTGTTTGGCCCTAGTGTTTAATATATTACTTTGATCTTTCTGTTTACAGGATTCTCTAATAAAATGTTTTCTATAGCTGAGAACCACTTAGCTTTTTGCCCTACTTTGGCTTTACCTTTCGTATTTTAAGCTACTGCCATGTTAAAAGTCTTTTTCCCTCTTTGTCTGATAGTTGATCTTGGAATATAATACCCAGATCTCTTATATTCTTGTATGACTTTACAAAGAGAGCTGCATCTATAATTTCTCTAATTTGTAGGCTAGTCTCTTGGAAATGCCATTGATTGATAACAGGTTGGATGCTTATATTAAAGTCTTTTGCCTTGTGCAATATTAAGCATGTTGTATTATTATTCCAAAATTAAAGTCAACGTCAGGTCTGCTTCAAAATTCCAGTTTCTATTAATAATATTTGCTGACAGCAAGCCTTGCTTGATTCGAATTTTTGCCAATTGACTATCTCGATCTGAGTTGTTTAATCTATATTGAAGATCTGTTATTTGCTGTATTAAAAGTTCTTGCCAAAGAAATTTACAATTTCCTAAATTTCTATGTGCCAATAAGAAGTTGCTTGTTGTGCGAGGTAGCTCGATCTTGTTCTTTATTAATTTAATTATAGGTTGATGTATTGAATCTAAAGCGTTTTTAGATAGATTAGATACTTGTAGTATATAACATAGTTTTAGAATCAAGTACATATTGTTCAAGTAAACTAGTTGGCTTAGTGTGAGCTTCTTGTTACTTAATGTTTTGATGGTCAATTGTACTAAGAGTTTGGCCTTTTTTGTAATCAAGATCGACTGGGCTTTACTGCTCAACCATACTTCTAGAAATCTTATAAGTGTTTTGCTTTTTTCAGCTTCGACTTTTTCTTTTACTAATAGTACATTTTTATTATTTGGCTTACAGACGGATTGAATACTATCAGCTTTGACTTTTTTGGATTTACTCTTATATCATTTATTGCATAAAACTCTTCTGCAATCTTGAGCGTTACCTCTAGCTATGATTTACTATTAGCTACCTATGTTGTGTTGTTTGCATAAGCTAGAGCTGCTTGTCAATATTTTGTTTCTTTAAATGTATTTTGGCTTAGGTTAAGTGGCTCTTTCAGTAGAACTGTGTACCCCAATTTTGTATTGCTTTGGACTCTATATAATAGTGGATTATAAAATATTCTCTATATTAATAGAGATAGCACTTCTCCTTGCTCAATATTATCTGAGGCTATAATATTCTCCATAGGGCCTACTGCAGTTAGAACTTTAGTTTTCCTTTCTTTAAATAAGTTGATAATAAAATTTATTGGAATGCTTAGAATTCGAATTCTTTCTATTGCCAATTTAAGCATTTGGAGTGGCACCGAGTCAAATGCTTTCTGCATGTTTTGGAACAAGAGCCATAGTTTCTTGTCTTGTTCTTTTGCATCTTCTGTGATACTGCTAAGTATATATATCGCCTTAGATGTTGAATCTCCGGGTAAGCCTGCAAAATTCGGTCCCTTAAGAATTGAATTTTTTGTTAAAATCTCTGAAAGACGTGTTGCTAGAACTTTTGTTATACACTTGCGAAATGTTTCTAAAAGTGCAATTGGTCTTAAAGAGTTTAGAGTCCCAGATTTTAAATAAAACAAACCGAATTTTCTAAAAAAATCATATATTAACTGATTTGCTTGTTTGATTAATACATAGCCAATTTCTGATATTCCAGGTGCCGTGTTATTCTTAAGCTCCTTAAGCATATTATCCTACTCTAGTTCTAAGATATTATTCTCTAGGCTTTTATATCAAGCTTCATTTATTTCTGATTGTGGCTCATATATTTTTTTCCATTCAGGAATAAGGAGATTAATATTTGGGCTGCTTTTGTTGTATTGATCTTGAAAGAAGTTATGAGTTTTGCTTAAGACATCTTTTGGGTTCATGTATAACTGGAAATCATTATCGATCTTCTCTAATATTCTATCTAGCTTGACCTTTGAATATAGTTTATTTAGTATGCTCTTTAACATTTTTCCTTGTTCATCTTGAATTATAAGGCAATACCGGTCAGTGAACTCTTTGATTCTTTCATTTTTTTGTTTTTCGAGTGCTGTTGCCTATTTTTGATTGAAGATATAAAGCCACCCCTTAATGTCTTGAACCCAATTTTCTATTGATGATGATTCATCTAATGCTATATTTACTTCATGTCTAAGGCTTATCCTGTGTAGTAATACTCTAATTTCTTGTTTTCTTTCTTCTGAAACTGCCAGTGTAGCTTTTTGCTCTTTGTTCTTTCTTAATATTCTTTTAAACTCCTAGCAGATTTTGCTGATATTGATCGTGTCCTTATGCAAAGGTGATCTTGTATTTTTCTTTTTAGCTGGTATTGAGTTTTCTATAGCATTCAGTATTTTTTTAAAAGAAATATTCTTTTTAGCAGCATATAATATTCCTGACTCAATAGAGACCCAAATATGATCTATATCTTGTTGAGATATTATACTAATATCCTTGTTTAATGCAATTAATGAGGAAGCATGTTTGTCAAAGAAGTACTGCAGTGAAGATTTGTAGTCTTTTCAATTTTCAGTTGTGGCTTTTTTATATAAAAATTTTAGATGAAATTTCTTGGTCTTCATAGTATTATGAGCCTGGTACTGCATATCACTTTCGCTGTTCAAGCTAACTAACATTGTGTTGTGGTCACTTTCTGTTATGCAGTCTATATCTAGAATTTCTGCTTTATATAGATTTTCCACTAAGCTCTCGAAAATCCAAATTTGGTTGATCCATGTGGCTATGTTACTATTTGTCCATGTAAAGGCTTGCGAATCAGGATTTAAATAACAAAAGGTATCTACAAACTTTTGACTTATCATCTATTCATGTAGTAGAAGTTTTTTGTGTATAACTTTGCTACTAAGGCTCTGTTTATCAAGTTCTGGTATTGTTATATAGTTGAAATCCTCCATAATTATTACCTCATAATTCACTGCTCTGTCAAGATATATTTCTTTAATTTGTTGTTGAATTAAATTAATTTGATTTTTGTCATTTGGTGGAAAATATACAATTAATACTGCTATTTTTAAGTGTTTTAGTATTATATGAAACTCTAGCAAATATTCATTGTGTCTTTTGATGTTTCCTGTATATTTGTGAATATTTTTTCTGATAAGAACTCCTAATCCTGATTCTTTCTTTTTATTAGGACATGAGCTTGTCTTAGATTCAAGAATGAAATGACCTTCCCTGTCTGAGATGTTTGTTCTATAATTCTTATAATATCTATTTCATTTTCTTTTGTCCAATCTATTAAATGTAAGAGCTTATGATTGTTCGATTTAAGCCTATTGATATTATGACATGCTAACTTTAATTCATAATTTAGGGCATTTGTAGTTATCTTAAGTGGTATTTGTCCTGTCAAGCAGTTTTGCTTGTTTGATTTCATTGATATGCCTGTAGCACCTTTTAGGAGAGATTGGGGCCTATAGCCTCCTGTTTTTCTTCGATTTTTTGGAGTCTAATTAGGATTTGCTCTAAAATACTGCTTTGTAGTTCCAAGTCATTGGAGGTGGTACTTCTTAGCTCTTTTCTCTCGATTTTCTTTCCTTTTGTGTTCCTAATTCTATCTTATTGGCACCAGTTGCTACTTTGTTTAGTAAGTGATTCTGTCTATTTAATCTGTTGTTTTCTATTTTTCTAAGCGGCTTTCTTGTGTTACTGCGAGATTTAAAGTTTTCATTTATATTTCTTTTTTGTTTGCTATTGTTGTTACTAGATGATCTTCTTCTTTTAAGGTTTTGTCTAAAGTATATTTCTTGATTTCTTAGATATTGACTATTGTAGGTTTTACTTATTTTAGATATATCTCGGTTTTCCCTAGAGCTATTATTTTTAACTAATTTATAATGCTCATTTTCACTCCATTCTAGCCTGTTGTGAAAGTAATATGGTACTGAAGCCTTTGCTGTTTTGAGGTCCTCTAATGATGCAAAATAGACTAGAGCATTCTCACTTGGATTATTATTACTATTAGTAAGCTTAAATACTATCTTAGCTTTGAACCTTCTTAGTTGTTTCAACAGAACTGACTCAAGTGCCAAATTAAAAATGTTTCTAAGTATCAATCTATATTCTTTTCTTATTTCTAGTTCTTTAGCATCAAATCTACCTGCTGTAATTTTGCTTGTTTTGCCTTTTTCAAAGTATATAGCCCATGCATTTTGTAGATTTAGCTTTTGCACTTTGCTTCTGCATGTGATTTTTATGTATACTGCTACCGATCTTTCAAAGTGCACCATTCCAATAATTCTACTCTTCCAAATTAATTAAAACATCTTCTGATTCTTGCTAAATTTACTCCAAAAGGTAAATCTCAAATTGTAATATATAACTCTAAATTTCTCTTCTCTTTATAATATTCAGTTTTATTTACTAAATGTTTGTTTTGGGCTGACATATTTTTAAATGCCCATAATGAGTTATATATGTCTTTACTTTCTTGGACCTCTTTTTTGAAAATGGCTTGTTTTTCTACATTTTGCTTTTCATTAGTAGTTATTTGCTGTTTCGTCTCTAAATTCATACTGTTAAAACTCTTAGAGATATTAATTTTGCTGTGTCCTCTGTACCATGATCTGATATTCCGCTTTCTGAAAAAATTAATAAGAATTTGTAGTCGTCTTTATGATCTTGACATTGCATTAGTAATTCCTTATCACTTTCATTAAAGTTTAATTCTGCATTTTTAATATAGTTTGTTTCTTTCTTTTTTGCAACTACGTTGTCTTGAGTATCTTCGTTATATACTCTCTTTCCGAGTATCGAGACTGAAGATTTTGTATCTAAATTCATTTCTGTGCATTGGCCCATAGCTTGATTGGAAACAGTTTCTAATAGAACTTCACCTATAAGTTGTGCTTCTACTTCTGATATTTCTTTCCTGTTACTTTTTTTACCTTGAACCCATTTATAGCTATTTATTAGCCCTTGTATTATATCAATTTGTTTTGGATTAGATACGTCCATAAAACTTGCTATATCTTTATCTATTTTGAGAGTTATTAATTTTTGTTCTTTGTAAACTTCCTCTATTTGCTTTTCTGGGCTGTTAAAGAAATTCTTTAAGTTTGCTATTCTAGTTATTTTTGTCTTGACGTCTCTATAATCTACTACACGACTAATTTGTGTTGGTTGTTTGTCTAATTGTTTGTTTACTTACAGTTTTGTTTGTTTGTTTATACTAAAAGGGACATGCATTACTGTTTGTTGTTTTGGTATAACAATTAGTAATCTGTTTGTCAGGGGTTTGCTAAATTCCCACTTTTTGTATCAAAAGTTGTAAAAATTTTGTAAAGTTCCTAGTTGTCGCAGAATTTACTAATAAAATATACTGTTTGCTTCTAAAAGAGTTTCCTTGTTTTATACAAAGGCTTCTTTTTTCTTAGAAGAGTTTTGGCTATTTGTTAACTTATTTTTGTAAAATTAGATGTTTTTTCTTAATTCTAAATTTGAAACAGAGGATCAGCGGAAAGAGTTGCTAATGATGTGAACATATTGTTTTTTGAGTCTTCTGGTTTTTTTTATTATTTATAAAAATATTTAGTGCAAGTAAAATAATAATTTATTGCTATATATAATAAACCATGACAATATTACTTGTGCAGTCTTTTTGAAAACTCAATTGATCATAAATTTTTAAGACAGGTATAAAAAAGAATACTTGTTGTAAAAAGTTTGTTTAATCTTTTTTATTAATAAAAATATTATATTTACATAATGAACTTTATGAATTATACATATTCATCTTAATAATAAACACACTTGACTAAAATTTAATCTATTTTTCACTAGATAAATTTTATTTTTTGATGCTTTTTGCCTCATTGATTAAGGTGTTTAAGAAACATTCTTGGTCAGTTTAAACATTTCTGACTAATTAAAATTTTGCTTTCAATCCATTGGTTGAAGTATTTGAGAAAATCCTAAATCTATACAGATAAGAAATTACAACTGTTTTTATAATTTAATAGAAAACTTTGCTTGAAGTTTTAAAAAAAACCTTTAAATTTTAAAAGAATTTCATAGTTTAATATATTTTGGGCTAAAATTTGGGGATACTCCTATAAAAAATAATTATTGATACATAATCAGAATATTATGTTTAAATAAATAATCTGATTACATATAATTTATTAATTATGTTAGTATAGATTTGAAAAAGATTATCAAATTTTTTTGCTATAGCCTTTAAAAATTAGTAATTATCAATTTATCTGTCTAGTAAAAAATTTGATAAAAAAAAAACAAAAAACTTTAAAATTTGATAATAAATATAGAATGAAGAATTTACAAAGCTAAAATTTTTACCACTTTAAGGTTTCTTTTGTAATTTTTTTTAAAACAAATTTTATGATACTATTTACTATTATTATTACTATTTACTACTACTATTAATCTCTACAATTTACTATAACTATTATTTAAAAAAACACAATGACTTTTTTCTTAAAATGGCAAAAAACTTAAGCTAAAATTTTAGAAGTTAAAAAATCATCTTACTACTTGAAAAAATTATTGTTATTTATAATCTTTTAAACTTTATCATTAATTAACTTCAAAATAAAATTTGTATTATAAATCAAGATATATAATTAAATCTTTAGTTTAATTACTATATAATTAGTTTTAAAAGATATACTAAATTTAATATATTAAAAACTACAAAAAATACAAAGATTAAACTTTTTTTTTACATTAATTTTATTATTAATATATAGTACTGCTAAGCAATTTTTGAATATTTATTAGATTTTTGTATATAAAAAAAATTTAGTTTTTAAACTTTTAGATTTTTTATGAGTTTTGAAAAATGTACTAAATTTAGCACAAAATAATAAATCTAAAACATTAACAATTAATTTTTTTTTTTTTTTTTTTTATAATTCGGCAGTCTTGTCTTAACTGTTTATTAGTACTCTAAGGTATTGCGATTACAAATGTACTGTTATAGAACGAATTAATTATTAGTTTATTATTTTATTATTTATTATTTATTAATTATTATCTTAGAATATT